ACTACAGCACGGTCGCATGACTTCAGGTCACCACCGCTAAGCTAAAGGCTAATGTTGGGCTATAAAGGACTACAGCACGGTCGCATGACTTCACGTCACCACCGCTAAGCTAAAGGCGGCTAATGTTGGGCTATAAAGGAACTACAGCACGGTCACATGACTTCAGGTCACCACCGCTAAGCTAAAGATGGCTAATGTTGGGCTATAAAGTTACTACAGCAAGGTCACATGACTTCACGTCACCACCGCTAAGCTAAAGGCGGCTAATGTTGGGCTATAAAGGAACTACAGCACGGTCACATGACTTCAGGTCACCACCGCTAAGCTAAAGGTGGCTAATGTTGGGCTATAAAGGAACTACAACACGGTCACATGACGTATTTTATGCCATAGAAATCTTAGGTTTTTAAGGCACCTAACCAACAACACAATCCAAAAAACGTTGACTCAGAGACGAGAGAACCGGAAGTTTTAAAAGCTGACTCATTCCCGGGTTTTCGGACTCATTCCTGCACCAAGAGCAAGCAAGAGGTAAAGATTTATACACCCAGAAAGTCTTCAAACGACACAAAACAAGCTCAAGTTTGCCTCCAGACTGACGAAAGCCTCCGGATTAATTTTAACAAAGCCACATGACGTAGTGACACCCCCGACAAACCACAGGCTCATCTGGATAAAAACTTAAACCTCTCGTTGTACCGCGAGGATGAAAATGAGTGCCGTGATTCACAGGGGTGAGACTCTTCCTCAGGGTGTTGTGGAGCTTTGTGGGGTGTGTTGGCGTTTGATAAACATTTAGCTTGTGGATTACGCATCACTTAAGTCTCAAACCTTTTTTAGCTGTGGCCGGCAGCTTAGTCTATTTCAACTCTTCAGCTGCTAAAAACAGCATGAAACCAACTTGTTATTTTACTTTTATGTTGATGCCCTCGCCCAGTTTCACAAAATGTGTTCTCGTTTTCACGTCCTCCTAATCTTGAAGCGCTGCTTAACTCAAACTGAACTTCCCAGACTGATTTTCATGCCAAATCTTCACAAATACAGACTTAACGTTTCAAATTCAGCTCACATTTGTGTCTAATCCTGGCCTAATACTGTACTTTCCACTACAACGCAAAGCGTGAATCCTGAACTGTCTTTGCTTTTGTTGAGACTGCCTCAGCACAGTCATTTCTTATGTTTAGGTTGAGAATTTCCCTTTCTACAAAACCAAATTACTCATATTCAGACAGGGATTACTGTAAATCACAAAGCCAGTTTTAGCTCTAAGTGAGTCACTGGGTTATATCTTTATAGATCAAAAGGACAGAGAAGTTTCTGACTAAGTCTTTAGCGGCGACGGTTTCTCTACAGCGTTAAGATAACATGGACTTTTATTAATCCCTCGTGGGGAAATAGTTTCTCTGCATTTGACCCATTCTAGTGTTAGGAGCAGTGGGCTGCCATTTTGAACGGTGCCTCGGTAGCACTTGGTCTTGCCGGGACTTGAACTGGTGACCTTCTAGTTGCCAAGCCAAGTCCCTATCGACTTCGCCACCACCGCCCGGGGAACCAACTAAACAATCATGACTATTTTCGTATATATTTAACACAAATATGAACGCATTGCAGGTTAACCCCCCCCCTCCCCCCCTCAGATCTCCCTCTCTACATCCATCTGCTTCTTCTCCTTTTTCCATTAACAGATGGAGACGGTAAATTCTGGTAAAGTGACGAGCGTCCACGGAGGCCTCGGATATTTACTACCTGCAAACGTTCATCTATCACAGCATGTGTGGATTACACTGCAGGTGTGTGTCCTTATTTTATACTACGTCTCCTGTTTCGCGTTTGATTGTGTATATATTTCTTCTTTGACCAAGTTCCATTACTTGAATCAGCTGTATATCTTTCTGTGAATTACTTCAGTGTGTGTGTGTGTGTGTGTGTGTCAAGCAGCTTCAGCACAGGGTAGAATTAACGAGCACGAGTAGCAGGATGTAAAGATGCTGCAATATTTCCCTGTTGACACACACACACACACACACACACACACACACACACACACACACACACACACACACACACACACACACACACAACACACACACACACACACACACACACACACCACACACACACACACACACACACACACACACACACACACACACACACACACACACACACACACACACACACACACACACACACACACACACGCCTCCTGGGAAATCACGCTACCAGAGCCTCGTAAACACAGAGCCGTGAATGCAGGCAGACAGCTGCTGCCTCTGACAATCAGCCATAACAAAAATAAAGAAAATAGATTTTTAATTGACACGCCCGCTTAACAAGCCTCTGTGTGAACGAACGGGAAACAATTGGAAACACTGAGTAATCCTTGAAATAGGAATCACTAGAAAAGCCCATTACGACTTATATTTAAATGCCTTGCACAATGTTTATTCTCATTTATATTAGGAAAATAACAGAAGGGAAAAGGTTTCTGAAGTCTGAG